GTGTGTGTGTGTGTGTGTGTGTGTGTGTGTGTGTGTGTGTGTGTGTGAGAGAGAGACCTGATGGAGTGACTGAGTATGTAGCACAGGGCTAACATGGGAAAAGGTAATGACCACTTCAGAAAGAGGGAGCTGGAAGAACCACTCGTCAAGATCCTGTCTCTCCTGTTGAAGAGCAACCTAAGCACTGACTACTACACCTCAGGGAACTCACTGATGTGTGTGCTAATTACCAACATAGGGTATAAGATCATTTGTGGCTTAATCTGTTTAGCTGCACTTGCATCAAACATATGCTTGTTGGCAAACATTTCCAATGTCCTTCCTCATGTCCTTCATGTTGCCTTCTTACCATAAGCCAACTTTTGTGACAGCTGGCTTCAAACACTGATACAAAATATCAGCTAAATAAACTCCACTGGTTTTGTCCTTAGTATTTCATTTTGTCCTTAAGAGAAGCTCCAACTGTACACAAAGTGGGTTAGTCTGGTGGATGGGGAGTAGCTTGGTAAAATTCAGTAGTTCCCCCAGAGTGCCATCTATCCATATCCTAAAAAAATTCCTAAGTCCACAACTCAAGAGTAGACCCAAATTTCTGGCAATTACCTTAAGAGTTAAGCAAAATATGTGATCTCAGATTACCTGAAGTAAATCTTGATCCATTTTCATATTGAAATGATGTTTGCCTTTTTATCTTAAGTTATGAGCACCTTGTTTTTTTTCCAAATATTTATGTCTTGATAAATTGCATTTTGCTATCTATGAGATATTGCACAGAATAATCTGGGAAGGGTCACAGGCAGCATGAGCTGCTGAGATAACATCATCAAGATAAATGCCAAAGTTCCTGATGGCAGGATTAATCTTATCCCCTATAATTCAACATTGTCCTTGTCAGGCTAATTCTGTGCATCACAAAGGTCATTTAAATTAACCAGAATTGTGAGGCAATCTCACAGGCTCACGTTTGCCCTTAAAGAACAAAAATCAGCTTTACTCTGGCTGTGGAACTTGCAACGTGACTTCAGAAGGAACCGAGGCCACTTGTGGGGGTTACACGTTCCCAAAAGATGTAAATACTTGCTGCCTTATTCCCAAACCTTTGAACTCTCTGCAGGCATTATTTTCACAAAATAAGTCATCAACCTGCCTGGCTTGGTCACAGAGTAGAGCTGTGGGTGACACACAATGACAGATTTAGCCCTGAGCAAAGGCTGAGGTGAGAACCCAACTATTCCATTTCCACACAAATATCCTAAATCTTTGCTGGAAGGAGCTGCCAGCAAATACTCTGCTGGTATATGTTCTGGGCCCAACCAACAGGAGAGTTTGTAATCAGCTGCCTGACATCTTGACCTCGTGGAAGTGAAAAAAATGCACAAAATTATGTCTGCTGTGCTGTCATCTGGGAAAAGCCTGCACATCACCATTGCATGAACACTGCATAAATACTGAATGAAAATCTTCAGACTCTGCATGCACAGAAATACAGATTTAAAATGGCTCTGTGACCTGGTCTGAGATTTGAAATGCTGCACAGAGCTGCATTGATATAATCTCCTGTTTGGATATAAATCTCTTGTTTTTAATATAAATTAAGGTGAATAAGATGATCATTTTTTTCCAGGAATTTTAAACAGAACATTGATTAAATCTGTATTTAAAGAATCAACTTTAAGAAAACAAACAAACAAAAGAATACAAAACCAGCTGTCATGAGGCTGTGATGTGGTTTTCTTTCTAAAAGAAAAGGTCATAAACAAGTTTGATTTGTCTCTCATAAAGAATCATAAAATCATAGAATGGCTTGCCTTGGAAGGGAACTCAAGGATCATCAAGCTCCAACCCCCCTTCTGCAAGCAAGGCCACCTTCATATGTTATACTAATAAAGTACATATCTGAAGAGAAGTCCAATCTTTACTTTTTCTAGACAAGACTATTTAACACAGATCCTCCAGGGAAACTCTGAGTTGATAGGAATTCTCTTCGTGCTTGCAGAAAAGCGGGAATACCACTTACAAACTAGACAAACCTTACAGAAACTGATTGTTTCACCTATTTGTGGTGCCTCTCAGTTCAAATGCAACCTTTTAAATTAAAAACCAGAAATGTTAACCATGCTAACTGTGGTTACCTTTGCATTGTTCAGAAGAACAAGTGAAAGCTGAGATGAGCTGAGTTACTCCTGGGTGATGGAGCACTGGAACAGGCTGACCAGAGAGGTGGTGAAGTCTCCTTCTCTGGAGATACTCCAGACCTGTCTGGACACCTACCTGTGTGACCTATTGTAGGGTATCTGCTTTAGCAGGGGCTTGGACTCAATGATCTCTTGAGGTCTCTTCCAACCTTCCACAGTTCTGTGATTCTGTGAAGTGAGGAGAGCTTCCAAAAGAAAATGTATGAAGTACAAAGATCTCTTTCTTTTTAGATCAACCAGAGTTACACTCAGTGAATAAGCAACTTGCTTTCAGCTGCTGTCTTTTGACGTACTGTAGCTAACTACGTAATTTTATCAGTCTGGAAAGATTCAATTTTATGAAAAGTGAAAGAAATGTGAAGATGGTAATTATGAGGAGATTAAAGTAACGCAGTACAAATTCAGCTCCTATGGAGCTGGATTTTTTCTTTCTTTTCTAAGTGGCTGTAGGATTATTTTCTTTTTAAAGCAAACACCTTTAAAGTCCCTGATGGAGCCTCCTAAATAATAGAAGATCTCAAATATCTGTAAATAAGTCTTCAAAATTGAAATAAAGCATCTCTCTGTGCTGGAAGGAGTAACCCAGCCCATCTCAGCTTTCACTTGCTCTTCTGAACAATGGTGTTTTGCTGTGCTAATATCTTAAATGGCTTAATGTTCTAAGGGTGCTTAAATGGGATTGTGGAGCTTTCATTCACACTGGGGACACTATTCTTCAGTCACCATTCCTTTCTCAGTGTTCAACATTAGTTTTGCCCAAAGGTCAACATAAGGACTTCTCTAATGCCTTACCTTCATTTATTTTCTCACTTCACAGTACAGCAAAGTAGTCTGAAAGCACTGGAAAGCATGTCAAATGCAGTTATGCCTTCAAAAACTCAGAATTCGAGAGCTTAACCCAGTTTGCATACAACTAGTCAGTCAAACTTTGATTTCAAAGAATAAATACAATTACTCATGTGAGTAGGTGTTAGCAGAACTGGTCCATGCAGCACAATAAATCATCTGATGGGAAGAAGGATTTGTTTTGTAAGAACTGAGAGTGGTTGGCCTTGATACATATTGTGCAAGGTCGTTTGACAGTCTAGCCAGTTAATTTGTGTTGTATGGGAGAAGATGGGATGGTAGGTAGTGATAGTGCCATTCCTCACAGTAAATCAGCATCTGAAATCCCTTCCTATGTCAACACAGGTGAGCTCCTCTGTTTGTTCTGAACTGGGATATGAAGCATCTCACTGCCTTGGAAACCAAAATGCCCAAGTAAAAGGACTTTGGCTCAGTCACTCAGCATGCAGGAACTCAACTGTGAGTTTTAGTTGTTACTCTTAATTATTATTCCCATTTGTAGTAGAGGGCACTTGAAGAAGAGAAGGTGGGGTCCTAACGAAACGAGTGACCTGAGTGCATCTTCAATAGCAGCTATTGAGTGCAGCTCACAGCATTTATCTAACTTGAAGACTTAACTGTGCAGCTAATTGCTTAATTATAACAGAATCTATTTAATGTCCCACTTCAATAGAACAAAAGAAAGGAAAATCAGCAGTACAGTTTGCACATATTCTAAGGAAAAAAATTGTGCCATGGAAGTGCCAAAGCACAACTTTAGTGATAGGCTTTTCCTCCTTCAGATCTTCATCTGAGAACCTGAAAAATTTCCCTCGCCTATAAAATAAAGTCACAAATATGTTTGGCATTAATACTAAAAATATTCAGCGGCCACTGTCAGTACCATCAGGTCCAGGAGAGATTCCATTCTTATAATTCAATATGCATTTATTTTTACCTAAATTACAGAGGAATCAGTTTAAAAAATGGAGTAGGCCATGTTATCTTTTGTCCATCAACCGCTAGAATATATCTATGCCACTGAAAGATTATAATCACTCAGAAAAGGTGTTCCAAATTTGTGACATGATTTTACTGTCCCTGACTTTAAGTCTACTCAGTCTAATTTTTTTCAACCAGATCCCAAATCAGAACACCGAAAAATCTGCTGTACACTGACCCCATGCTAAGCCCCTCTTTGAGCTTATCTGGGAGACAGAAGAATCAATCAAAACCAATATGGTATAATGATATTTATTTCAAGTGAGGAGGTCTGAGAACACTGCATGACTTATAGCCCAGACAACTGATACACAGGGGAACAGGAACAAACACAGGCTTGAATAGTGAAGTAATTAGGGCTGGAATAGGGGTGTTACTCTATATGGATTATTGAATTATAATGATAACAATGTAGCACCATGATAAAAATGAGGAAGAAAAAGAAAGAATCGAGATTAAAGGTTCTGTTGGCACACAGAAAAGGTAATCCACCAGAGGGAGACAAACTGAAGAAACCATCGCACTGAAGTCACGTTAATCAATGAAGTGGAAGAAAGAAGAATTGTGCAAAATTAAACACAACAATTTATATATTTTTATCATTAATTTACTCAGCTTCTTACTTATCTTTCTTTCTTGCCAGTGTCAGGAAATCCAAATATCTCTTTTAATTTTTAGATTTCCTGCTAATTATGTTGGGTAAGAAAAGTGATTCTACTGAAAGTGTGACATCTGTAATTCATGAAGCCTATTTCTTGGTTCTGGAAGCATTTCTCATTATTAACAAGTCCGTGTGAAAGAACCATCATTTAGATTCCTACTGTTTCTTGACAGAAAGAATGTGCAATATAAATGTGCAAGTTTAATTACAGAAGTATTTCAGATTGCTTTTATATCTTCAGAGGTTTGCAAACAATTATTTAGCAATGTACTACTTCAACAAGGTTGACCAACACATGTTTGGCTGTTGGCTGGGGTCAACCCAACACAGTCCTTTCAGACCCAGACATTACTTTCTTCTTTATCTGATTTGAATTGTTCCTTTTTGTATGGTTTTTGATACCTTTTCAATGGAGTCAACATAAATGTTCTGTGTTGCAGTTCAGTTGAGTTTCCTCTTTATCCCTGCACTATCATTTACTTTTGCTTTTTTTGTCAGCATTTTTACTGTGTTATGATATTATTTCTGATAGTATGTACCCCTTTTGTTCAGTAACAGCCATTCATTACGTTAGTTGTAACATTCTGTACTGATAAAGCTGTAGGCTGAGCAGATCTAACAAAATAGGAAAAGGTTGAAATATCATTAGTGACATGCTAAATTTTCAGGTGCTTCATGTGCTTACTTCCTCGTTTCACAGCTAATTACCACATTTATACTGAAGTACTTACTCTTACTTCACTCATTAAAAGGTTACTTTTTGCCAAGGAATGAAAGGAAAAGTTTTCCCTATATTCTTGTAAAGACAGTGTACTGATATTGTCCCAGTTCCGCTCAAAGAAGTTTAGTAAAAGTCTGTGCTATTGTTTGTAACTCTTCTACAGCACTTCTTTTTTTTTTTCCTCCTGTAGAACTGGAAGCCCTGACATTTTTAAGGAGTGCAAATGGTATCAGGAATAGAAACTCACCAAAACCAGCATGTGACTGAGTACTGAGTACTCCCTCCTACACTCTATACCCTCCTTTCCTTCATCCTTTCTTCTTTTTACTCTCCTTTCTTCTTCTTTACACTTACTTTCTGATCTTTCTCTCCTTAATTCTTCCTTTCCTCTTTCCCAAGGCTTTGAATCCATGAACTGTTTTTTATCAGATTTTTCCTACCTTCTCCTTTAGCTGCTTTTCTTTTACACCATCTGTTTCTCATGATGGAGCATATTATCACTGCTACTACTCATGCATTGCTCCTTAGAAATCCCAAATCCAAATCTAGTCAATAAAGATTAGAACTAAAATTTTGTTTAAGGGCAGAAATCAGTCTCAATTTACTGAAGTGAAAGGCAGATCTTCCCATGACAAAACCAGCCACTCTGTTCTAACTTATTTTTGAGACTCGTGTTGGTCAGACGACTGTAGTAGGTTCATCTTTTTACTGCTTTTAACCTGAAAGCAGGAAGTTAACTGAAAATGAACTCTTGTTTCGCAGTCCCTAGTGGATAACACCCACTTGGATGAAGTTGCCATCTGTTGTTTTCTTGGATTGTGTCAGAATACGTAAAACAGAGTGAAAGGGAGAGAAGCAAAACAGAAGACAGACGCAAGCAGAAAATATTGCTTGGAAGTTGAGGTTCTCCAAAGCAAGAGGATGTTTGGAGTTAACTTTGGAAAAGCCCTGCAGGGGCAATACAGGTGATTGCACTGATCACCAAAGAGTAGCTGGAGCAAAAGGAAAGCTCCCTGGCTGCCATAGATCTGATGCTTTTGCTCTTCATTTCTTTTTCTCATAGCTTGCTGAGTGCAGGCAACGGTAAGTGGGACCAGAACCATCCTTCAGAACAAGCCAAGAAAGATGAAGGAAGAAGAGTGGCTACAGTAAATAACACACAGGCTTAACAACAGGAGCTAGAAGTATGACATTCCCTTTATCTTCCCTTCATTAAGGCTGAGCTGTAATGAGGAATCCAGCCTGCATTGTACTCAATTATATGACAAGAGAAGAGAGGAAACGAGGAAAAAAGAGGAAATGTAGTGTTATGATTGGAAGTTTCATCAGTTTAGTAACAATACTTTTGACTTAAATTTGAATTTAAAATGAAATGTTTCAGGATTCAAAATTGTACAGCAGCAATTCTGTTAGTGAATGAGTAAAAGCATCATTTATGCCTATTATGCTCCGTAAAGAAGCCCAGTTATATCCATTTCCCTTCTTTTGACTAACAATTGGTATATTTAATATACAAAGAAAATAGCAATATTCTGTGCAATATGGCACAAGGCTCACAATTGCTATATTGTACAGTAAGTGCATTTCTTGAAAATCTTCTCAGAAATTTTTGTAGTAGCAAATGCTTCATCAAGCTGTTTTATTACGGTATGTACAGGAAGAGGAAAGATAGCATAGTTAGTTCATCTGCTACCTTCAGAATTTAAGTGGTCAATTAATATACTCATCACATTTATTGCTGCGATGTTACACATGTTTGTATGGAGTATCTAAATCTGATTCTCTTAAACAGAAATAGTTTTATCGACTCAATACTGCAAGCATTTCCTGAAAAAGGATATATTTCCTGTGTTTTGTTAGTGTTCAACAGCACAGACTTTTAAAAAGCAGCAACGTGACACTGATTTGTAAGACAGACTCTAAGTAAGCTTGTAATTCTATATTGTTGTATCTCACAAGAACTCAGTTACTGAACTCCAATGATTATAAATTCCGTATTAAAAAAAAAGACACTGTTGTCCTTACTTCAGTCACAATATTAAGCAAAGATACAAAGAAGAGAGAATCCTGGAGATAAGCTCGAAGATGAAAATGCTTTCTGTTCATACAGTGAAGTTTCTTCAACTTTGTAACTGCAATCAACAAATAAATTCCATGCTTTGGGCTCCTCAAAGGAGTGAGGTTTGTCTTCACTGCTTAGGTGCAAATTAGCTGCAAATTAAACAAAACAAATAGGTAAAATGAAGAAAAACTTCCTAACTGGTCTTCACAGAAGGGATAAAATTGAGATACTGAGCGCTTTTAAAAGTTAATGTCAGTATTTTCAATGGAGAGAAATAGTATCTTCAGCAATAGGCCTCAACTTTTTTGTCCCAGATATTAAGAACTGTCTGTGTTCCTTCTCACTCAGAACTGGAGGAGTTCTGAATGGCTTCTGAGTTTGGAGAGGAGTAAGCATAGATAAAGAACAAATACCACAAGTATAGAAAGGAACCTTCAACTCAACTCTTTCAGCCCCCATAAAAACAAAGCATATAGCAGGAGCTATATCCATCATTGAAGGCCACCAGGTTGGTCAAGCATGACCTTCCTCTGGTGAAGCCGTGCTGGCTGTCTTGGATCACACACCCATCCCTCATGTGGTCGAGCATGTCATCCAGGATGATCTGTTCCATGATCTTCACAGGCACAGAGGTGAGACCCACCGGCCTGCGGTTCCTGAGGTCCTCCTTGCTCCCTTTCTTGTAAATGGGAGTGACGTGACCCTTCCTCCAGTCATCCGGGACTCACCTCACAGCCATGACTTTTCTAACATGATGGAGAGCAGCTCAGCAGCCACCTCAGCCAGCTCCTTCAGAACCTGGGATGCACACCATCTGGCCCCATAGACTTGTACAAACTCTCCAGCTTCCATGACCTCAGATAATTTGCTTTAGAATCACAGAATCACCAAGGTTGGAAAAGACCTACAAGATCATCCAGTGCAACCATTCCCTTATCAGCAACAATTCCCTACTAAAACATGTCCCTTAGTACAACATCTAAACAGCTCCTGAACACCTCCAAGCTTGGTGACCCCACGACTTCCCTGGACAGTGTATCCCAGCGCCTGACCACTCTTTGTTCTTCATCAAATTCTTCTGTCTGTAGGTGCCCTAAAAGTTTCATTGTTAGCTTATCAAATGATGGAGAGGGCCTGGTCATCTGTGTTCTTCATTATTTACTACTCCACAAAACACGTTCATCTGGAAACAGTTGTAATATGGTATACGTTTTCTTTGGAATTACTGATGATAATATTATACTGTAGAAAAAGAGAAAATTCCTTTAGGATCAAAAAAAGTGCAACATTTTAATGGCAATAAGGCATCTCTCAGTTAGTGGATTTTTAATCCACTGATTAGTATCTTAATTTCTGACTGCTCTGAATTCTCAGCCACATTGCCAAGAGGTATCAGATCAGATGCCTTAAGGAGTATCCACACTTTACATATGAGCTTTCTGTTTGAAAACTGCATCTAATGCATTTCTATCCATTACTTTGTTTTCTATCACTTCTATCTGGAAGTACATGAGAGGGATGGAAACGTGGTTTCATACTGACCTGATGCACTTGCTAGAATTAGAGTTCTGTGCCTTCTGGTCAAAGATGCTCAGAGGTGCAAGGTGAAAAACAGTTTCTCAATATTTTGTTGAAAAGCAATACCATCCTCCTGCCCTCACCCCGCACTCCCAAAAAACAATAAAAGGAAGGAGGAAGGAAAGGAAGGGAGGAAAGAATCACAGAATCACCAAATTTGGAAAAGACCTACAAGATCATCCGGTCCAACCATCCACCTACCACCAACAGTTCTCAGTAATCATGTCCCTCAACACAGAATCCAAATGTTCCTTGAACACCTCCAGTGTCGGTGACTCCACCACCTCCCTGGGCAGCCCATTCCAGTGCCTGACCACTCTTTCAGAGAAGTAGTATTTCCTAAAACTGATTTTAGTTCAGTTCTTCAGATTTCAGTGATACTTAACTGAAGAAAAGTAAGTAAGTAAGTAAGTAAGTGAGAAAGAGAGAAAGAAAGAGAGAAAGAGAGAAAGAGAGGGAGAGAAAAAGAGAGAGGAAGAGAGAGAGGAAGAGAGAGAGAAAGAGAGATAGAAAGAGAGAGAGAGAAAGAGAGAAAGAGAGAGAGAAAGAGAGAAAGAGAGAAAGAAAGAGAGAGAGGAAGAGAGAAAGAGAGAGAGAGGAAGAGAGAAAGAGAGAGAGGAAGAGAGAAAGAGAGAGAGGAAGAGAGAAAGAAAGAGAGAGATAAAGAGAGAAAGAGAGAAAGACAGAGAGAGGAAGAGAGAAAGAG